AAATCATAGATAATACTATATTAATAATATATTTACATATAATATATTTACATATAAATACCTGACTTGTTTTATTTTTATTGCAAAAATACAACTTAACAAGGAATCAATCATAATTTCAAGATTCCCTTTTTTCCCTTATTTTGTGCAAATATTTTTATTAAAAGTTTCAATCAAGTTTTAATTTGTTCTTTCAGTTCTATAAATAAGATGAATCCTAACTCGATTCCCCATCATTATTTAAAGACTTCCTGCACCAACTTTATTAACTTGATCAGGTATTTGTCATGTGGGGACTAAGGCTGCTGAAAATCTGAAGGTTCATGACTGATCCAAACAGGTTCATGAGCACATCAGCGCTTCTTCCTGTCTACTGATGTGTCACAAGACACAATGACATAAAAAAAAAACATGAAGTAAGTCATACTAGAGAACATGGTTGGGAAATTCTTCTTAAAATACCGCAGCATGTTTACGTTCTGATGAAATGACAAAGTTCCAATTTGGGACCTGCAGGCTATGGTGTTGTTAGCCCAAGAAGACACCAAGGCTACTGTTGCTGCCTCTAATATCTTTTTCCATTTGTATATTTCTCTCTTTTTCCTCAGAAAATAAACTTGCGAGCCGTAGCAGTTTTGCAAAGCAACCATCTTTATGACTGGCATCATGGAGGCGGCCCATCCTCCCGTCTCAACAGACCCTCAGAAACCTCTCCCCTGCTGGGAGGAACAACATGACACTGTGCAGCTGAAGATTAATCTGCTTCGCGTCTTTGGTTCAATTGCTTTTAGCATTTTTTTAAGCATGTTTTTATAAAAAAATATCCAAAGACTTTTAACGAGGTCAGGGTGCTGTGACGTCTCTCCTGTGGTTTATAATGTATACAGTCAGAAGCTCAGGTTCAGGTTTGTCTCCCCTTCAGTAGTCTGTGGGTGGGTAAGCTGCTAACACCATAAAAATGTCTTTGAATTGTGTTTTATAAGAGATTTCCATATGTGTGCCGTGACTAAAACCTTGGCAACCAAACAAGCGGTAGCAGGAAAAGAAATGTTCTTTCTTTCTAAATTAAACTGACCATAGGAAAGCCGTTATTTAACCTGTTGCACTATTGCCCGTCAACATATTTGCACCTTGATGTAAAACATTACTTGTTCCTAACAAAGTAATTAGCTTAGACTCTAAACAAACGTTATCTAACTTTCTCTCATATAAAGGCAGTTATTTCTTATTATATTGGATGGGGGTTTTCCTATCATTTAACTGGCCTTGCATTGTTTTCACTATGATAACTGGATTAAACCTGTGATAAACAAAGAACAAACATCTCCATGTTTATGTTTGTAATTAAATTGTATAAATACTTTTTCATCTGATTTTCTAAGCCCTGATTTAATTGATTTAAAGCTCTTAATTGATTATTATGCCGTCATTTATATACCAGCTGTCAGTGAGGATGAGCGGTTGTTTGTTTTTTCTGTTCTCCTCCGTGTCTCAGGCTCTGGCGGGTGGGTCTTTGGCTCCTCACACCTGCTATTGAGCTTTTTTATTCAGAAACTACACTTATACAAAAATGCTCAAAAATACACCCACAGGTGTTTGGATCCAGGTCGGACTGCATTACATCTTGTTTACCATATCACATGGAGCACACAGAGGATTTTTGACTATTCCTCTATGCAGGATGATTCAAAGTGACATCCTGCATCCTCTTATCTACTCCTCAGCCAGCAGGATCTCTGTCGGATCTATAGCAGAAATCTTTCTCCTTCTTCAAGACCCAATATGAGCCATGATCTGTTTAGAGGCAGAGGTCTCCAGATTTTTGTTTAAAATGTTGATACTTTCCAAAAGTTCATGATGCATTCTGACAAGGTTGTTGGATTCATTGGATGTATAACAGACCTAGTTATGTAGGTATAAATGTTTATAATGATAGGTTTTGGCATCACCTTTCAGCCAGTATTTACACCTAAGTGAATGGGATAAATTTAGCTCCACAAAAATATTTCCCCAACACATTTTTTAAGATGTTCAGTGTGAGATTATGTTCATGTGGTGCAAAATTGGTTTATTCTAAAGCTTTTTATACAATTTAACATGTATCTACATGCTTGTATAGTTAGTTTGCATCATAGTTAATCTCAGTCTAATTGGGATATTCTGTAAAACTAAAACAATGGGACATAGATCAGCATTCTACTTAAAAATTAACCCCTAGATCAGGTTTCTTTGAGAGCCGTCATTCTGTTTTCCCTTCTAGAAAGAACTGAGTATATCTGATTCAAATGAATGAAACTGATAGACTGAATATTAGGCCTATTGTTGTTTAACTGTATATTAAGAAGCATGGCATTTTAAAATGCAAAGACTGACTTAAAACTGACCCCAGAAAGAATTACGTTATTTATTTTGCAGTAAACTGTAAGATATAAAGAAATAATTAGTTTTTCCACTTCCACCAAATGAGTGGTGAACATTATTTTAATAGCTAACATTAAATATTTGTGTTTACCTATGTTCCTCTTAGGTAAACACTTGTTCCTCTTGTTTATAACAGATTTAGTAAGTATTCTCCTGTCTTAAAATAATGTGACACACAAGCAAGCTGAATATTTTTATTTTGTCATAAAACTATTACATCTCTATATGCAGAGCTTTTTAAATATTTGTTTTAGCCTCGGTAATGTTCACTTTTTGGCACACAGAGTTAACATGATTCAAACCCATAATTCTTGATTCCCCATAAAATATCTCTTCCTAAACCTCAGCAGAGATAATCAAATATATATATGTTACAATATATATTTCTATTAAAACCAAAGATCTGACAAGGAAACATTCAAATAAATAACCACACTGACAGCGAGAGCAGCAGCTTTGTAAAACAATCCAATGTTTCCTGCTTGCAGCCATGTGGTGAATTAGTGAGACGTGTCAGGAGGTCGGTTCTTATTTCAGCTTCTGCTCACAAGGAGAACAGAAAGTACTCTAGGATCTCTCAGATTAACTCAAAATTAAGACTTTACTCTTCCAGTAAAACCAGACGAGACATTTCAAGCTTCTGTTTAGAGCTAATTTCTATCCACACAGAATACAGGTGGCTAATGATTTCTAATAAAACAGCATTGTTTTTCTCCTTGTTGAATGTAATGTTTTGTTCACAATAAACTGCAAGAATTTACAACAAAATTGTATGGATTAAAAGAAAACTTGAAGAGGCCCTTTAAATAAAAAACAAAAATAGCCCAATGGTGGAGCAGCATGACGCCTCCACATAAAGTGTTATGGCACAGAAGGAAGATGCCTGAGTAAAAATCGAAAGATTCTGCGTTTGCATCAGAAACAATAATTAAAAAAATATTCATACAAACAGAGAAACTGCATCTTAAAGAGGAAAATATGTTTTGAAGCTCAACTAGCAGGAATATTTAAAGCTATTTTTACACATAAGGACCTCTTTCACCACCACTAGTTAAATAAAAATATATTTATCACATTAGCTTGGCTGATTTTAGTGTCTGCGTAATAGTGGTCAGTCAGCACTAAATGGAGACTTTTTCTGCTGTGGCACATTAAAGAAAATCAAAATAAACAGTAAGCTTATTCTTAACCCTTTTTTTTCCACTGAAGAGAAATCTGAAAGCAACGGAAATGATTTAGTCACTGAAGAGCATGAACACTGAGAAAATAAGTATTTGAACAACCGCTTATTTTTCAAGTTCTCCTGCTAGAAATCATGAAATTGTGATCTTAGTTGCATGTCTACTGTGAGAGACATAATCTTAAAAAAATTTTAAAAATCCAGATATCACAATATATGATTTTTCTAGCTATTTATTTGTATGATCCAACTGCAAAAGGTATTTGAACAGCTGGCTATCAGCTAGAATTCTGACCCTCAAAGATCTGTTATTCTGCCTTCAAAATGTCCTCCACTTTATTTATTATCCTAAATTAGATGCACCTGTTTGAGGTTGTTAGCTGCATAAAGACACCTGTCCACACCATAGAATCAGTAAGAATCCAAGACTGTCCAAAGACATTAGAGGAAAAATGGTAAACCTCCTCAATGTTGGAAACGGCTATGAGAAAATTACCAAGCAGCTTGGCAAAAAAAGGTCCACTGATGGAGCAATCATTAGAAAAAGGAAGCTAAACATGACTGATCTCCCTCAGACTGGGGCTCCATGCAAGATCTCACCTCATGGGGTCTCAATGATCCTAAGTAAGATGAGAAATCAGCCCAGAACTAACGGGGAGGAGCTGGTGAATGACCTGAAAGGAGCTGGGACCACCGTTTCCAAGGTTACTGTTTGTAATACACTAAGAAGTCCCCTGCTTAAACCAGCTCATGTCGGGGCCCATGTTAAATTTGCCAACGACCATTTGGATGATCCAAAGGAGTCATGTGGTCAGATGAGACCAAAATTGAACTTTTCGGTCACAATTCCACTAACTGTGCTTAGATGAAGAGGAATGATGAGAACCATCCTAAGACCACCATACCTACTGTGAAGCATAGGGGTGGTAGCATCATGCTTTAGGTTTTTTTTTCTGCACATGGGACAGGGAGACTGCGCTGTATTAAGGAGAGGATCACCAGGTTTGTGTAATGCAAGATTTTAAGGAATAACCTCCTTCCCTCAAAGCATTGAAGATGGGTTGAGGCTGGATCTACCAACATGACAATGACCCGAATGAAAACAGCCAGAATAACCAAGGTGTGGCTCTGTAAGAAGCATATCTAGGTTCTGGTGTTGCCTAGACAGTCTCCAGACCTAAAACCAACAGAGAATCTTTGGAGGGAGCTCAAACTCTGTGTTTCTCAGCGACAGCCCAGAAACCTGACTGATCTAGAGAAGAAAAATTAATTGCAAACAAAGGCTACAGTACCAAATATTAACATTGATTTTCTCAGGTGTTAAAATAATTATTTGCAGCTGTAACATACAAATAAATAGTTTACAAATCATATATTGTGATTTCTGGATTTATTTTTATTTTTTTTAGATCATGTCTCTCTTAGTGGACAATCGCAGACCCCTCAATGCTTTCTAAGTGGGAGAACTTGCGAAATAGCCGGGTGTAAAAATACTTATTTACCTCACTGTAGATGGTGGCAGCGATTCCGGATTCTGGGACCAGTGATTTTTACCTTCTTAAGCAATAAAACACCCAAATCATTTTAAAGATTTTTTTTTTCTTAATTGCTAGAAATCAGCTAGAAGCTGCGGCACAAGCACAGATGATTTTCAGCAGTTCAGTTAAAGAACGAGTCTCTTTTCCTCTGAGCTTCAGGACCCTGCAGGGAGTTCCTGTTTCCCCCAGCTGACCTTATTCTGTGCAGTTTCAGTTCTCAGGGGACAATCCGCCCAGAAAGGCTCTATTAACAAAATATTAGTAGTGCTATAAGGCAACAATGGGGAGACGATGGGCACGAAGAGGCCAACAAGCTCCAAACACAAACATTCAAAGGTGCGTCGAGTTTCACGTCCAGGTCCTGAACTCTGCCCGTCTGAAGACTAAAAGGTGGTGCCGTCACAGACGATGTTCTGGCCACGTCCGGGAAACAGCTCCATCTGCCAGTATCGAGGGTCCGCATACACTGAACACCAACCCAGAGACAGAGAGACACTGGATCATTATGTGCAGACATCTTTTAACGTCCAACATTTATTTCAAATTTACATAGCAGGAATTCAGGGCTGATTAAGCCTTTAGCACCCTAATATCAAGAAAATAAATCTTTTCAACCTTAATCTAAATGATTCTTCAACATAAAACACTGATGTTTATGGTTTAAATAAGTTTTAATGTGCAGGTTCTGAAGGAGTTACCCATGTCCCCTGGTGAGAGCCAAAGGTTGAAGGAGCTACAGTGTTTCTGGCACCGCTGAACAGGCACAACTCGAACTGTTGGCAGGCCCTCTCCCACCACCAGCCAACCCAGCACCCTGACACCCTGAAACATTAGCAACAGAAGACAATGACGTCTCTGGGTTTTACTACCTCCCAACCAAAAGAACCAAGAACCTCCATACAAACTAGGGGGAAAAAAGCCCAAATCTGATCTGGATTTAGGTAATAACCATTTTAATGTCAGTAATTATATCTCATCTATTCTTCTATGAGGTTATGTAAACAAAACACTTGATGCTGATGAAAATTATGGAAATGTTAAATGTTAGATTCTAAAAAAAAATCAACAAAAACCATGCTTTGCATTTAGAGGTTATGCCTTTCAAACTTAGACTAATTAATTTTAACTTTTTAGACCATTTCTTTTTGTTATCAATGGTACGCTCCACTAACTCCATCTTTAAAATTTCCAGTTTTAAATAGTTTTCTGTTCAACAAACTTTCTTTTTTTAGCTTCAAATTTAGCTGTTTTTTTTTTTATGTTGCTTTAAAAAAAAAAAAAAAAAAAAAAAAAAACTTTATTGCCCCAGCTTAGCTTCATACAGATACACTTGCCTTGCTCTGAGAGTTTGTGCTATGGGTGACCAGGCATCGCTGCAGGACAGTCCCAGCGCTGTCCAGCAGGGGGCAGAGCTCAGCCTTTGGGAAGAGCCATCTCAACACCTTTTCTCTAGTTCCAGAGCTGAACCTCCTGTAAGAACAAAGTACAGTAACTAATAATCATTTTGTTAATCAATTGATTTTTTTTTCAATTAATATATTAATAATCAGATAATAAAGGTTTCTTAAGGTATATTTTCTAGAGAATTTAACCCAGGGGAAGATGAAACTAATCCACTTGTAAAGTTTTAGATGGAGCATTTTGACATTTTTTTTTATTACTTGAATACAAAACGTTAATACATATTTTTTTTTTTTACAGTTTTGGTATAATTACTGCTCTCTGTGTGGGTTGTTCTTATAGTTAATGGGAAGTTTTAGAGTGTATATACTCCAGTTAATGATTAATAGATTACTAAATAAGCTATATATTTTTATTAAACATGACCCAAAATGCAAAAATACATTATATGCATTCTTTTTCAATAAAAGCTAAACTGTGTTCTAATAACACAGTTTAGCTTGGTTTAGAAGTGTTTAGATTGGGACAATGCTGCTGAACCTGCATCCTGAGCTATGATGGAAGGGTTTAAACCAAAGCGTATCCTGGTGTTAGATGGCCTCAGATTCCTACCAGAGCAGAGTGAAGTTGGCGGGTCCCTGAGGAAGGCCCAGGTTGTCGTTATGCAGGCCGCCGTCCTCCTCAAGCAGAATAGACATGGAGCCTGAATGGGCCAAGTAGAGCTCCTCCAGCTGCTGGCGCTGGATGCTGAGAGACTCGCCACCCTGCAGGGAACAGGGTTGATGTGAACAGAAAACTGTCTAGATTTATAGGAAAACGTCTAATGACAACAACATGTAATAGCTTTTTATTTTATTTCATATGATTACTGTGAAATATTAAAAAGCGGGGTTTAAAAAAATCAACAGTAAAGATCAGTAAAATGTCTCAAATTGTCCTCTAAAAAAATGGAAAACCAACTTTTAAACTATTTCTTCTTCTGGGGTTTTACCAAAAAATTAAACTAGAGATTATTCAGAAAATTTTTGGGGAAAATATCCTTCAAGATAAATGTTTTCAGATTTCAGATTTGAACAGATTTGGACTCAAAAAGTGGTTGAAATAGGAGCAACAGGCCCACGCTCAGAAGGCAGCTCTTAATCAAATAGAGCTCTGACCTTCAGCAGGACCAGCTGTGGTCCCCGTCGCAGAGTCACAGTCCCCCTGAGGCTCTCCGGGACTTCCAGCACAGAGGAGATCTCTGCACATCCGGAGCAGTTAACCAGACTCTGCCTGAGAGAACCGGCACTCCACCACTCATGGAAACCTGCCACAGAAATGAAAAACAAGACTTAATGGTATGAAAAAAACCTCATGTGTCAACAAGCTAAAGCTTATCGGTCTACATTTGGTTCTTATATATTTTCTGAATGGATAATCCCATTATTAAAAGATTTCTTTAGAGAAAACTAAAAAGATGCTGCAGTTTTAAAGAATTTTGATGGTAGCTAAGATCAAGCATGGCCTTTTAAAAATAAATTCTACTAAGAATTGAAGTTAGCAGAAAACCTCAGACACTGTTCAGGTGTTTTTATAATTCTGTGAATCACGATACAAAAGCTGTTTGTAATAAAGGAAGATTGGACCGTTCCAAGGCCTCCAGGAGGCAGCAGTGTTTCTCACCTTGCAGGTTGTACTTCTTGGCAATAGGAAGGGAGAGGAGGCGGACGTGGCTGAGAGGGGACGACCAGTTGCAGCAGCCCAGATTCACCAGTCCCAGCTGGGGGGAGCTCTGTGGGTAGGTGAAGGCCAGCACCACCACCAGCAGGAAGCCCACAGCCAACAGAAACTGAATCAAGACAAAGAGATTTAAAACGCTGAAAAAACACAGAGCAGGAATTTCACATCAGGTTTAGTTTTTATTTCCACCTTGATGGTGGCTCTAAGAAGGGGGAACTGTGGAGGCTCTCTCCTGGGTTCGTTGGTCTCCAGGACCTGCTTGATGAACCTCTCGATCTCCCTCTCTGACATGCCGTAGCGGTAACCCGACTGCCGGAGGATGTCGATGCTCTCAGACAGTTTGTTGTAGATACATGGCTCGCTCGACGCCGTCCCCATAGTGACAGCAGCTTTATGGTCCAACGCGTCAGTCTTCAGCTGGTGCAGGGGAGCAGGATCATGGCGTCATCTCACCTGATAAGAAACGCAAGAAATTTAAACCAACAATGGTCTCTATAAGACTTAAGATAGTTTTGCTTTTTGTTTGTTTGTTTGTTTGTTTAAAGGCAGGACTTTGACTAGGCCACTTTAACCTTCTGACAACATCTATTACATTTTTTTATTCTTCTAAAAAATGTAAAACAACTTAAAAAAAATATTTTTGAAAGTTCACTTTTGTCTTGTCGCACCAAAGAATAAATTTCCCCAAAGTGTCTGCAATTAATAAGATGTTTGTTGGCAAGTAAAGAGGAGGGTTTTTTTTTTTTACAACATGCAGTGGTTTCTCACTTATAACTCTATAATGCTGCTATTATTTTTATCCCCTAACTCCTGATTATAAACTTAAATTTAGACAGTCATCTAAAAATGTTTAATTCAGTCGCAGTGGGAGACTTGCAAGCAAAAAGCCATTTAAAACCTTTGTTTTCATTCTTTTTTAAATCGACATAAACATCCTACCAACGTTTAGATTTTTAAAAAGTTCAAAATGAAATCCTAGCTGAGAAAAATAATAATGATGAAAATGTTAATCCAAAACACCACAATAAAATGGGTTATTAAATCAGGGCCAACAAACAGCTGATAGGGATGAATAGAATAGAAAATCAATTTATTGTCCCACAATGGGGAAATTCTGGTGTTACAGCAGCAAAATGATTATAGAAAAAAATTGTCACTCAAATGTGGATCTTAGAAAAGTGTATAAGAATAACATATTAGTGAAGGGTTAAAGAGTAAACAACTAATATAGTGTACTGTACAGTGTTTTAACACTATAGATTCTGTGCACCTGGAGAATAAATAACTCATATACAGCTATGGACATTTTTACGGTAATGGATATTTGAAAATAGTAGCAACACCAGAGATGTGCACAAATGACAGCAGCATGTTATTTAACTGATTAAGGTAGAAACTGTGCAAAATCAGCATGAATGTAACAACTTATTGAGGTTGTTGGCAACAGTGGTGGTTATAGAGTCTTCCAGCTGCTGGGAGGAAGGATCTGTGATTACGCTCTTTGTTGCATTTAGGGTGCAGCAGTCTGTCACTGAAGGAGCTCTCCAGTTCTGCAACAGCTTCATGCATGGGTTGGGAGACATTGTCCAACAGAGATGTTAATTTAGGATCCTTTTGTTTCCCACCCCCTGCCCTCTGGACTCTAAAGTCCTGCCCTCTGGACTCTAAAGTCCAGAGGGCATCCAATCACAGAGCTGGCCTTCCTCATCAGCCTATCCTATCCTAACTGAGACTATGTGGACATTGGCTGTTCCATTAGACTGATAATGAGAATCAATGGGCTCACACACAAACTCTCATTTGCTTTGTGGACTTTGAACATGTACCTGTTGACCTAAGGTGCCTAAACTCCTCCACCTTCAGCACCACTGCATTAGAATCAGTCTACATGGAGCTCACTCTACACAAAAACACTTGGAAAAGGCACTTTTTTGCATGAAATGTTTTACTTCCTGGAGGATTTGATTTAGATATCGCGATAATTTGTAATGAACACAGTCTAATGAGTGTTCTGATCTTTTCAGCAGAGATGTTGGACAGTAAAATATGGACGTAGTCGAACACAAGGTCACTCTAAAATAAAACTATATAAACCAAATGAAGAAATAAATGAACTCTGATTGATGTTTATAACTATTACTTTGTTTTCCTTCCATTGTGGCGTAAACAGAATGAGAGACTCACCCAAATATTCACTAGCAGAGCAGTTTTATGTACTGTAAATAAAAACAGGAACCTGTCATTCTGAATTACATAACGAATAACAGACCAAAAAAAAAACCTTCCATTAATCAGTCGCTAAATGTTTTTTCTTTTTCTTTTTTTTTTTTTTTTTGTAAGTTTGATTGCTATAAATAATCCAAACCTTCAGAAACACAGGTAGTTTCAGCCGAAATAATCTAACAGGTTAGCTTATTTGGTAGCAACATCAGATTCTCAGCCCAACACACAAATTCACCAAAAGCCTCACCTTAAAATGAGATCCTCCGTCCTAGTAAAAACACTTCCATTTCTCTGGGTGCTTTAAGAAAGACGGCTATCCTTTTGTAAAATAATGATTTCAGGCCGTCAGTGAGACATTTCTGCACCATACACGACAGTGAAGTCGGCTTCCGACTTGTCACTTCCGGCCGGCTCAGCGGTTGACTTAAATGACTATTGCATAGTTTTTCTTTTGCGCATCAGAAATTAAACCGATTAAAACTTTAAATAAAACGCCAAGGGTAACGTACAGGTATGCTGAAATAAAATACAGAAATTGTGGAAAGCAATGTCAAATCAGCATAAAAAAATAGTCTAAATGAAGGCAATACATTTATTTTACTTGGTTATGACGTGTTAAACCGATAATATTTCCACTAAAGGCAGTTAACGATGATGAAATATTTCTAATATAGAGTGTATTCTACTATAGTACACTCTATAGTAGAGAGTATTCTACAATAGAATATTTATGTTCTTCATGTTCACCATATATATATGTGTGTGTGTATATATATACATATATATATACACACATATATATACAGACTATATAAAGGTTTCATAGTATATTTATCAAATAAAACACATTGTTTTTTTTTAGGTATGCTTTGATGCAGTTTCATAAGCGTCTCTCTGTAGCCAATCAAACAACCTTCAGGCGCTCTTCGTCCCACCCTAAACGGGACCAAAACAATCTCTCTCAGCCAATGACATGTCGACTTCTCCCGGAAGTCCGGACCCTTCCTTCCGCTTCTTGTGCAACTAGTTTACAGCGAAAATAAAGCTACAAGTAATTACAACGTGATTCAGCGGCAGAATGGCGGAAATAGAAAATTAAAAGTATTTAACTGTGCGCCACTGAATGAAGTTCAAAAAGAAGCATTTTAGCTCATACATCTCCTGACAACCACCAGAAAAACGTAGACTGAAATCTTTAATAAATCAAAAAATAGAAGGAGATTTTAGATTATTTAAAACATTTTCGGAACTTCTGAAGACAAACACAATGTTATCCTTAGTGGGTGTTAATGTTTTATTTTGGCTCTCTAATGTATCAAAATACAAACAAAATATTGTGTAGCTAAAAGTTATCATACATTTACGAAGATTAACAGCTGGTTTTTGTTTACTTTAAAGCTGTTTTTATCTTTTAATGTTCATTTGGGTTTTTAATTGATAAACAGTAAAAATTTATTTCTTTTTCTTAACTTAAGGTTATCATACTTTCAGAGTTGCATCATATGCCATGACCATTCTCAATATATGTATCTAGCAGTTTAAATATGATGTCAAAGATAAAATGTTTCTTATCTCAGATAGACACTAGATTGTTACAATAAGATTCAACATCCTGATTAAAGATAATCAAAAGGTGGAACAAAGATTCCTTGACAGGCAGAGAATTCTTTTGTAGTTTTTCTGCAATGTAGCCGCAAGAAATCAACAGTGGTGTTGTCTTAATAATGCACTAAAGATGTGCTCTGTGTTGAGGAGTTTGTTGTTTTACGTTGAGTGTGAAATCCTACTGTCCAGTCTAAGATGTCCAGAGCATCAAATAGATATCAATACATCACTTTTTAATGGTGCTGATGGTGTAGATCGGAGGTCTTTAACAGGGGGTCCACAGAGGTACTACATTACTCCATATGTAATAGAGGGACTATAGAACCAGCTTGATATAACACAATTTCATACAATATATATAATTAGGGGGTTCCCCTCCATCTCGTCATCAATTTTGGGGTCCTTGGCCTGGAAAACGTTGAAGACCCCTGCTGTAGATGACTCTCTACCAAAGTTTGAAGACATGAGCAACATTTTTTTTTCTTCTTGGGAATCTTTGTATGTTTTCATGTTCAACTATTGACGGAACCGCAACAGATCAATGACGTAACGACACAACAATAAGCAAGTAAGCAACATTATCTGGGTGGGCCCCATATAGAGACTGACATTTTTTCGGGAATCCCATGGGTCACGGGATTCCCGTGGGATTCCCGTGGGATGGGAGTCAGTATTAGTAACGATCACGGGATTGGGACGGTACAGGATTAAACATTAACGGGAGCAGACAGGAGCGGGAGCAAACCAATAGTAACTTCCGCTCTGAGTTTTTCACCCGCGCTCAAAAACAACAAGAATGGGAGTGGTGCAGGAGCGGGAGTCATTCTGAATGGGAGCGGGATGGGAGTGGGAGTAATTTCACCAGGAGTGGGATGGGACAGGATTTATATTTCTACTCTGGCCCGGGATCGGGAGGGGACACCATTTTTTTCTGTGGGAGTGGGACGGGACAGGAGTGAAAATCCACTCTTGTGTCAGTCTCTAGCCCCATATGAAGTACACCTGTACAAAGTATATTCTGCTGTAAAATGAGTCTTATCGGTTTACCTTGAGTTTAACAGCCCCCCTCCTCACCCACGCTCATTCCACTCATCTCCTGGTCGCCATCTTTACTCACTGTAGCAGCAACCCCCAGCTATTTTGGGAAGTTTTTTTTCCATTCATCTAGCAGCTCTTCTTTGCCTTTTCTTTTCTGGAATCCGCTTAAGTACCTCTTTTTGGTATCCATCGTCGCTAAGACATTGTACATAATGGTTATGGTTTTAATCTACCCTCTGGATTACCTATAATTCCAAGTCGTATTGTAAAACATAAAAAATAAAATACTCAAATACATTGTTCATTTAAGATCTTTATTGTGGTTTGAAACATATTATATGAGTGTATTTTTTTACCAACACTCTAATGAACTCAGGGGTTGATGTTAAGGATTTTTACCACTTGCCCTTCAGGCGTGACTTTCACATTTAATTTGCCCAGAAACAATTTTTACTTGCCCAGTATAATGTTTGTTAATATAGTTCCTAATATTCATTTTTGCATATATATCAATGAAACATGTTTGTTTTTTAAATGTTTTTTGTAATTCAGTATTTTTTAATTTTACAGGTTCCTGGTGTGTATATGCATGCCTCAGATAATGAACTCAAGCCTACATTACCGTGTTAACATGCCTTTCAATCCTTCTTGCACATTCTTTTCAAACTAAACTTTGCTTTAAACTGTTGTGTGCTTGGGAAAAATGCAAATTGTAATGTTAAAAATAAAAATAAAAAAACTTGACAGGTTAAAAACTTAAGATAAATCACAAGATAGAAGTCAATGTGACAAATTAATAACTTATTTTAGAGTCACAGTATGTTTATACAAGATAATACTATTAATATAATGTGACTTTTCTAGAGAATCATTATACAGTTATTTTATACAGGGTTTCCACAGTCTTACATAATTGCAGAATTCCCTGACTTTTAACTGACTTAGGATTAGTTTTCCCTGACAAAATAAATGCAGCAACAAGACAACAATAATAACATAACAGGTCACCAATTTAACATGTTTAGCTCTATAACATTTAAATGCACCTCTCCAATGTCTGAGAGAAAAAAAATTAATGAAAATTTTTTAATGTATGACCACTGTACAGAAGACTGCCATATGATAGCGCTTTCTAGCTTGTTTGTCGTTTTGGTAACTACATCAAAATTACCGCTAGGTTGAAAAAAATCACAAGTAAACCACGCCATCTGGCGGAAAATCTCGCGGCTTTTTCAAATAACGCGAGAATGTGTACAAAACAACAAAAATGGCGCCGGCTGGGTCGTTTTCAGCTATTGTCGGTGATTTTAAAGTAATTTTGAGTGATAAATATTTTTTTTGCGATCACTGCACTTGCTCAGTGGGCAAATGCAATGAAATTAATAAAATTAATATGAAATTGATAAAAAGTACTTGCCCCGGGCGATAGGGCAATGGTTAACATCGAGCCCTGATATTACTTCTGATAAAACCTATAAAAAAAAGTAAAATACCTCTGATGTTACACTATATTGCCAAAAGTATTTGCTCACCCATCCAAATTATTGGAATCAGGTGTTCCAATCACTTCCATGGCCACAGGTGTATAAATTCAAGCACCTAGGCATGCAGACTGTTTTTACAAACATTTGTGAAAGAATGGGTCGCTCTCAGGAGCTCAGTGAATTCCAGCGTGGAACTGTGATAGGATGCCACCTGTGCAACAAATCCAGTCGTGAAATTTCCTCGCTCCTAAATATTCCACAGTCAACTGTCAGCTGTATTATAAGAAAATGGAAGTGTTTGGGAACGACAGCAACTCAGCCACGAAGTGGTAGGCCACGTAAACTGACGGAGCGGGGTCAGCGGATGCTGACGCGCATAGTGCGAAGAGGTCGCCAACTTTCTGCAGAGTCAATCACTACAGACCTCCAAACTTCATGTGGCCTTCAGATTAGCTCAAGAACAGTGCGCAGAGAGCTTCATGGAATGGGTTTCCATGGTCGAGCAGCTGCATCCAAGCCATACATCACCAAGTGCAATGCAAAGCGTCGGATGCGGTGGTGTAAAGCACGCCGCCACTGGACTCTAGAGCAGTGGAGACGCGTTCTCTGGAGTGACGAATCGCGCTTCTCCATCTGGCAATCTGATGGACGGGTCTGGGTTTGGCGGTTGCCAGGAGAACGGTACTTGTCTGACTGCATTGTGCCAAGTGTAAAGTTTGGTGGCGGGGGGATTATGGTGTGGGGTTGTTTTTCAGGAGCTGGGCTTGGCCCCTTAGTTCCAGTGAAAGGAACTCTGAATGCTTCAGCATACCAAGACATTTTGGACAATTCCATGCTCCCAACTTTGTGGGAACAGTTTGGAGCTGGCCCCTTCCTCTTCCAACATGACTGTGCACCAGTGCACAAAGCAAGGTCCATAAAGACATGGATGACAGAGTCTGGTGTGGATGAACTTGACTGGCCTGCACAGAGTCCTGACCTCAACCCGATAGAACACCTTTGGGATGAATTAGAGCGGAGACTGAGAGCCAGGCCTTCTCGTCCAACATCAGTGTGCGACCTCACAAATGCGCTTCTGGAAGAATGGTCAAAAATTCCCATAAACACACTCCTAAACCTTGTGGACAGCCTTCCCAGAAGAGTTGAAGCTGTTCTAGCTGCAAAGGGTGGACCGACGTCATATTGAACCCTATGGATTAGGAACGGGATGTCACTTAAGCTCATATGTGAGTCAAGGCAGGTGAGCAAATACTTTTGGCAATATAGTGTATAT